GTGATCCCATTTGGGGTTTTATTGGCAAAGATACTGGAATGACTTGCCATTTCCTTCTTCAGCTCATTTTACAATGAGGAAACTGAGACAAATAGAGTTAAGTGACTTGCCCAGGGTCACACTGCTAGTAAGTGTCAGAGGCAAGATTTGAACTCATAAAGATGAGTCTTCCTGATTCCAAGCCCAGTGCTCAATCCACTATACCACCTAGCTACCCTATTTATATGTAAACTTCATTATTAATTTTTCCCACATATGATTAGATATCAATGATTAATTAGCATCACTTACACTCATGTCAGAATGGGCCACACAATGTGATTTGCCACTGGTGGAAATCTTGTCCATAAATTCAAAGAGAAGTTTCTTTCAGTTAAAAAACAAAACAAAAACATTGTATGAGTCACTTCTTGATCATTCCCAGAGGGAGGGAGGCATTGTCTTTAATCTTTAATTGGAGTCAGTCAGTCAATAAGGATTTATTAATTTACTTTAATCCTCATAATTAGGTTGGTGCCTTGGGTAAAAACTTGCTTAATTTAACAGGATAGCTTCCTTTTGAAGAGCCATTGTTTTCTGGGCTACTGTCTATATTAATCATTCAGGTTGTGCAGGCATATGAATGTATTCATGTATGTTTATGTGCTCCTAAGTCTGCATGTATGTCTATCATGATTACTTATGCTTTCCTTGAAATATTGTTAAACTCAAAATAAGTCTGGATCATTTGTGGCCTTCCCCTAACCTGGATAGAATGTTGATTTACACTTTATGGTGGCTGGGGTGGCAGACACTTTTTTATCCAGTTCTCACACTCTACTGAATAATTTTCATGGCATTTGGATTTGGCATACAGGGTGCCCTTGAGAACTCAATTATAACTCACATTTATGTAGCTCTTTAAGGTAAGAAATTTTGAGCTTTCCTTTCAACAATTCTATGTGATAACTAATCCCTTTCTCTCTTTGTTCTGTAAAGACCCCAGTCTAGGCCTTCATTATCACCTGCTTGGATTATTGCAATAAATAACTCCCTAAAAGGTCTTTCCCCCTTTCTTCTCTCCTGTGGTGATAATAATCTTTCCTATGGATAGATGTGGTCATGTCACTCCTGATTGAAAAATCTTCAGTGACCCTTTATTGTATATTGAGTAAAGTTCAAACTTCGATGCCTGTCCTTCAAGGCCCTCCACAATGTTAGCATTCCAGATATATCTAATATAACCGGCTTCAACAACCTCACCCACAGAGATAATAGATACTGTTACTGTATCTTTAAGAGGAAATGGATCTTGGTGTGACCATTAAACTGTCATTCTAAGAGAAGTCTGTTAGAAGAGGGAGAGTAGAGTCTGTGACCTGTTGTGGTAAAAGATTCATTGAGATACTGACAGAAAGAATGAAGAAAATTTCTTGCCTGAGAGAATTGTTTTAACTCATGTTGCAAAATTACAAATTATAAAGAGAATTCTAGAGGGACTTTGGCTATTCTTTTGAGAGAACTGAATGGGAGGACTTTGTTTCCAGAACTGAGAAGTCAATAGTTGGACCTTAGCTGTCACCTTTCTTTTTTTTTTCTTTTTTCTTTTTTCTTTTTTTAAAGTGAGGCAATTGGGGTTAAGTGACTTGCCCAGAGTCACACAGCTAGGAAGTCTTATGTTTCTGAGGGCAGATTTGAACTCAGGTCCTCCTGACTCCAAGGCCAGTGCTCTAACCACTGCGCCACCTAGCTGCCACCTAGCTGCCCCCTAGCTGTCATCTTTCTCACAGGCTACTGAAGCTGGTGTACTCACATTATTTCCTTCCATGGGCTTTACAATACAGCCAAATTGGACAACTTCTCCCAGACATCCTGCCTTCTTGCACCTCTGTCTTTGCTCAAGATGTTCCCTATGTCTAGAATACTCTCCCTCTCTTTTTTGTCTACTGAAAAATTACACAGTTTAAATCTTAATGCAAACACCACCTTTTCTACAAAGCTTTTCCTGATACCCCTACTTGGCAATAAGTACCCTTCTCAGACTTCACATCGCACTTTATTTTGTAATTCCTTTATACAATTATATGATAATGCTAGTATAATACTTTGCATATAGTTGGCACTTAGTGGTTATTGTATTATTTATCATAGTTTTGTGTTGTCCTTAGGGGCAACTCCTTGAATATATTTTATCTAAACTTTTTAATTTCTCTAAGCACCTAGCATCCAGAATGTTACTCTGCCCACAGCAGACACTTAGTACCTACTTTGTTGTATTGTATTATTATAGTGTAAGAAGTATTACCCACATTTTACAGAGAAGGAAATGGAAATTCAGATATTAAAATAAATTATCCTGGGTCATACAACTAGTAAGCACAAGAACTAGGATTTGAGCTCAGATCTCTTGATTGTAAGTTACTTCTCAAAGAGAAGTAACATCTACATCTGGGTGCTAGTCATGTGTATAAATATAATTAGGAAATCTCATTGGTGGCTATGTCTGGGTCAATATCATCTAATCAGATGATAATCTGCTCTCTGGGAATTTGGCAGTAAACCCTCTGTGCTGTTTTTGGTAAGATATTCTCCTAACTTGGAAATTTTGAATTTTCAAAGGGAAAAACTCTCCTTTTCTAGCTTTACTGCAATATCCTGAACTTTATTGCTACTGCTTCCCTCCTCTCCTCACCTTTTTTCTGTCTCCACTGCTCCATTCCTCTTCTCTATTTTCCCTACCCTTCCTTCAAAGCTCAGCTCATCCATCTCCGCCACGAAGCTTTCCCTAACCTAGTCTGGCCAGTCCTCAACATTCCTCATCCTACCCCACCTATGAATTCCTGTACTGTCTCTTCCTGCTATCAGACACTTAGCACAAGTTACTTTACATTAATGAGCGTTTGTTTCTGTACACATATGACCCGTTGTCTTAAACAAAATTTAAGCTGGGGTTCTACCTCTTCAAATTCTCAGTTTCTGTAACGTAGGCATGAGGTCAGTGTTTCACGGTGATATTCAAAGAGTTCTTTGATTTTGATTATACAATGTCCCTTATAACTTCCAAATTAGAGTCTGAATACTAAATACAGAAAGTAACCTTTAGCGCTATCATTTAATATCTTCAACTCTCGACCAAAATTTTTTGAAGTTGCTACTCCAGCTGAGATAGTACATACACAGGAGATGCTTCATATTTGTCTTTATATACCTGATGCCTGGCACACAATAGATGCCTAATATTGGAGAAAAGAAAAAAAGTAAACTGGAAATTGTTTTTTTTCTCTTGAGGAGAAGAAAACGTCAGCTGAACTCTGAACAAATCTCAGTTCCGAAGCAGGGTATGTTAATCATCCGGATGTTCTCATCAGTTTGTAGTGTACAGCACCATGGTCAGCGCCTGTGCGAGTGGGAGTGCTTTCTCCTTCCTCTTGGAGAGGAGATAAGGCTTACTCCTTGACTCACCAGTTGCTCATAGACAAGATTTATTTCAGAAATTGATTTCAGTGTTAAGCAAGGCTAACCTCCAATCTATTAAGATACAAGAAGGGCCTTTGTAAAGAATGTAATGCAGAGAGGTACGCTATGAAGGACATGAAAGTGGAGTGCCTCTACAGAATCACAGGATTTGAAGGATCTCAGAGATCAAATAAAAATAAAAGTAGCTGTCATTTATGTATCAATTTAAGGGCTGCAGAGCACTTTATGTTTGTAATTTTATTTAATCCTTAAATCAATCCCATTAGATAGATACTAAAGGAATTATTAGTCACGTTTTACAGATCTTTTTTAACTGAGGCTCAATGAAGTTAAATAACTTGCCTATGGTTGCATACCTAGTAAGTGTTAGAGGTGAGAATTGAGGGCAGATCTTCTTGGCTACAGCACTCAAGCCACCATCCCAAGCTTCTACTATCCAATTTCTTTCTCAAGAAGAATTTCCTTTACAGCATACCCGAGAAATGGTCATTCAGCTTCTGCTAGAAGACCTTTTGTGAGAAGGATCCCACTTTCTCATGCAATAGCCCATTCCACTTTGAGGTGTCTTTAATTGTGTTTGGAAGTTTTTCTTTACTTTCAGCCAATCAAGTAACCAATAAGCAATTACTAAGTATTTTCTATATGCCAGCACTGTGCTAAACACTCAAGATACAAGGAAAAAGCAAAAACGGTCTCTGCCTCTAAGGAGCATGTACATTCTAACTGGATTCAGTTACACTGAATCTAAATCTGTCTCTAAGCAACTCCTACCTATAGTTCCTAGGGTTGCCCTCTAGGGCCAATCTCCCCCCCCCCCCATATTGCAGCCCTCAGAAACCTAAGGTAGCTACTGTGTCATCTTGTCTCTAAGTCTTTTCTAAGATAAACATCCCTAATTTCTTCAACAGATTCTTGGAGAAGTGGTCTTTAGTCCCCTCACCATCTTGGACAACCTTCTTAGAAGAATTCCAGCTTGTCACTCTTAAAACTGGGCTTGATGTGACCTGAGCAGAGTGGGTACAATGGGAAAATTATAACCTTCCTCCTTCTTTAAACTGGTCAGTGGTGTGGGAGAAAGAATGTGGAATGTGGAATTAGGAGACCTTGTTTACAATCCTGGTTTATTATGATAATTCCTTAATTATGTGTATATGTCTATGGGCAAATCATTTAACCACTCTGAGCTGAGCTCAGTTTCCTAATTTGTAGAACGGGAATAATGATACCAATATTACCTACATGTCATGTTTATTTTGAGGAAACTGCTTTGAAAACCTTATAGACCTAATAACTGGGCATGATTATTTAATAGTGTGAAATTTGTTACAGTAAACAAATGAGGTGGGGTGTCCTGTTCAAATAAAGTGAAAGGATGTTATTCCCTTCTCCCCAACACTCCCCCCCAAGTAAATAAAATTACAAGATTTATGGGACTTGACAGAATGACTGAATTTAATGCTTCTTGAAGTTTTCCATTTCTGCAGGGTTTTGTTTTAAAAATAACAAAACAAGGTAAAATAAATTAATTTATGTACACTTTACAAATGTTGTGTCAATTGGGGGTTTGCAGCAACAATAATAGAAATGTTAATGCCATAGTTATTTGGTTGTTGCAAGAGCTCAACCACCTACAACTTAACAACATCCGTCATCCTGAGAATGGTGAGTACAAAGATGTTGTAAACATGTTTAGAAGCATTTGCGGTGGACAATGGAGGGTCCAGCTTCATCATACTCTTGTTTGGTGATCCACATCTGTTGGAAGGTGGACAGTGAGGCCAGGATGGAACCACCGATCCAGACAGAGTATTTCCTCTCAGGAGGGGCAATGATCTAGAAGAGAAAGGTACCATTCACAACGATCAGACAAAATAAGAAAAGAATGGGGGGGGCATCCTAAGGTGGGAGGAAGAAGTTATGTAGATGAGAATTCCTGAACTCCAAGGGTTTCTCCTTGTCTTAGATGAGAATCATTGCTCAGTGAATTTGGAGATTTAAAAATTAACTAAGAATGATGAAGTCTCCACTAGCCCTTGCTCCCTTTAGGTTCCTACCTTGATCTTCATTGTGCTGGGGGCCAGGGCTGTGATTTCTTTCTGCATACGGTCAGCAATACCAGGGTACATGGTGGTACCACCAGACATGACATTGTTGGCATACAGGTCCTTCCTGATGTCAATATCACACTTCATGATACTGTTGTAGGTGGTCTCATGAATACCAGCAGATTCCATACCTTGGAACCAAAGGAAAGACAAGGGAAAAAGGAAGAGAAGTGGGGGTAGGAAAGGGAGGAGAAGGAAAGCAGAAAGAAAATTTTAAAAAGAAGAAACAAACATAAACAAATCAAAGTGAGCCATTTGGCTCAATGGACTTCTCATGAATTAGATTATAGACAAAGTGGACCGTGAAAGAGCCCCAGAGCAGCTTCTTACCAATAAAGGAAGGCTGGAAGAGCGTCTCCGGGCAACGGAAACGCTCATTGCCAATAGTGATGACCTGACCATCGGGCAGCTCGTAGCTTTTTTCCAGGGAGGAGGAGGAAGCAGCAGTGGCCATCTCATTCTCGAAGTCCAGGGCCACGTAGCACAACTTCTCCTTGATATCTCTCACGATCTCACGCTCAGCTGTCAAGTGGAGGGAAAAAATACTGATGGATTAGCTGGAGAAAGTGGAATATGGAAAGGCACAAATGCACCCCCTTGAGAACACTCACAAACCCATCTACACATCCTATTTGCCTAAGAACCCCGAACCACTGGAGGCTACATATATGCGTGGGGGTGAGGACTCGCTCCTGGTTAGGCAAGGTTGAAACCTTTGAGATGTTCGTCCTTTCTTGTTTTTAGGGGTGGAGGGGCTCTCGGGAGGTGGTGGCAGTTAAGAACAAGTCCTGTGGGTACCTCCAAGGGCCTGGCTGACTCCCATAACTTATTCCCCGTCCCGATCTCCCTCCCGTTGGCTTCAGGTATCTACAGCTGCTTACCAGTAGTCACGAAGGAGTAACCACGCTCAGTGAGGATCTTCATTAGGTAGTCAGTGAGGTCCCGACCGGCCAAATCCAAACGCATGATGGCGTGGGGCAGCGCATAACCTTCATAAATGGGTACGTTGTGTGTGACACCATCGCCAGAGTCCAGCACAATACCTAGCATAGGGGGAAGAAGACAGATTGAAGAGGATTTGACAGACCTGAGTAAAAAAAGGCATGAAATTACTACGCGCTCACGCACACGCACGCACATGCACGCACACACCCCAAATGCCGCAGAGAAATGGAAAGCTGCAGTAACATTCTCCTTCATATCAGAGCTCAGAGGATTTGCCTCAGGCACTGCGAGGGGGGAGGTGGGAGGTGGGGGAAGCTGCTACGTAATAGGGAAGGATGTGTTCCTAAGTAGGCCAGTAATGCTCTGAAATTTGGTATGGATTTGATAACTTCTTTAGGGGTGAAGGTAGTTGCCCGGTAGTATTCTGGATCTATGAAGCCACTTGAGGTGCCATTTTGCTAAACACACACACACACACACACACACACACACACACACACACACACACACACACACGTGCGCGCGCGCGCAAACACTGAAAGGCGGAGCATATAGTCTGAGGGTTTTAAAAGGTGCATGCACCTAGCGCCCTTGCTGATCTGACTAGCCTGGGAGGTGGGGAGCGAGTTGTGGAGAGGTGGAGTGAGAGAACTGTAAAAACAAGCAAAGGGAGAGGGAGAGGGGAGTAGCAACTGGTTGATAGATAGTAGTTCCAGTGCTGAGAGTCTGGAGGTGCTGTGAATGTGGGCCAGGATGTGTTTCTTTGTAAAAGCAAGTTCCTGTCTGGGAGGAATGCAAGTGGGAGGGAGTGAGGATAGCTAGTGTGTGTAGTAGAGTGAGACCAGAGGCAGAGGGCGGTAGGCCCTGTCTGTCTAAGTGTCTTCCTGGCCCGGTCCATGCCTATGTCAGGCCGGGATGGATCGACCTCTTACCGGTGGTACGGCCGGAGGCATAGAGGGACAGCACAGCCTGGATGGCCACATACATGGCGGGGACGTTGAAGGTCTCAAACATGATCTGGGTCATCTTCTCGCGGTTAGCCTTGGGGTTGAGGGGGGCCTCAGTGAGCAGAGTGGGGTGCTCCTCGGGGGCCACTCGGAGCTCGTTGTAGAAGGTGTGATGCCAGATCTTTTCCATGTCATCCCAGTTAGTGATGATACCGTGCTCGATGGGATACTTTAGGGTCAGGATACCTCTTTTGCTCTGAGCCTCGTCGCCTACGTAGGAATCTTTCTGACCCATACCCACCATGACGCCCTGAGGTACGGCAACGAAAAAAGAGAAGAAAAGGGGGAAAAGCATTAGGCTCCAAAAAAGGAACTTTGAAGTGACGGCTATCTCGTGTTAAGGAAACTCCCACTAACTTTGAGCCATTTCTATCAAGCAGTCCTATAAAAGACCCTGAGGTTGAGCTGAGGGAGGTATAAAGAATTCACATTTACAGAGCACTTTAAGGTTTTACAAAGAGCTTTCCTCAATACCACCCCAGGAGGTATTTGGCACGAGTATAATTGCTCCCCCTCCCATTTTTCTTTTTGTTGTTGTTGCTGACTCGTTTCAGTAGTGTCCAACTCTTCGTGACCCCATTTGGGGTTTTCTTGCAAAAATACTGGAGTGATTTGCCATTTCCTTCTCCAGTTCATTTTATAGATGAGGAAATTGAGGCAAGCAAAGTTAAATGACTTGCCCAGGGTCACACAGCTAATAAGTGTCTAAGACCGAATTTTAACTCAGCTCTTCCCGACTTCAAAGTTGCCACTCTCCATCCACCGCGCCCCACCTCTCATTTTCCAGATGAGGAAACTACAGCTCAGAGATGTTGCTTGGCCAAATCACCAAGCTAGTCAGTGTCAGAGTCAGCATTTGAATCCACATCTCTTGATTTAAGTTCCTGAGCTATTTCCTCAGTATCTGTATCCTCACTGGCTGGATGCTAGCGCTTTGAGGAACATTCAGGGTTGGCGCCCCTTGCCCCGTGCGCCCCACCTACCTGCATTGGGGAAAAGGGAAAGGGTTTGGTGTACTAGGTCTCACCTGATGACGGGGGCGGCCCACGATGGAGGGGAACACTGCCCTGGGGGCATCATCTCCGGCAAAGCCGGCTTTCACCAGGCCAGAGCCATTGTCGCACACGAGGGCGGTGGTCTCGTCTTCGTCGCACATGGTGTCTGTTTTCTGCAAAGGGAGGCCCTATGTCAGTGCGCTATGTTGCCACCCGCTTCCCACCAGCTTCCCTGGTCCCTGGTCCCATGGATAGAAGCAGAGCTGGTACTATGGGTCCGCCAGCCATCCGGGAAGGTCAGGGAGACGTGCGATTCAAAAAGACCACTATGCTCCTCATAGGCACTCGCTCAGTAGTAGTATTCTGCGTCTTGCCCTCCAGTTAAGTGCACTTCAGCCGCACACTTTTAGCTGAATTACTTTGTTTCTTTCCAGCGTTAGGAGCCCAGAGGTGGGTAATTAATTGACCACACCGGGATTGGGCTGAAGGATCCAATAAAGAGGAGATTTGTGCCCATGACCCTTTTAAGACCTACGATCCAGGTTCAGTTCCAATCTTTCTCTCCCCGCCTCCCTGAATTATTGAAGTTGAGTTATTTCAGTCTGAAGATGTTATTAAAATACACATGGCCATATGCCCTTTTTTATACACAGGGAGAGAGGGAAGCTCAGATAGTTTAGGGACCTTTAACAATAGACGAGAATTCTATCACTGGTTCATAGATTCACAACAAGACGAGACCTTAGAGATAAACCATCTCAATCCCCTCAGGTGGGACATTCCCATCTGACTCATCTGACCCTAAGTACAGACGAGGGTTGGAGAGGGGAGCTGAATTCCCCCCCCTCCCCAAATCATCTTTCCAGGAAGCTCTCTGTTTAACTATGTTGCCTGAAGAATTTCCCCACCCGCGTTCTTCGCCAGCTGTCATTGTTCTAGCAGCTATAACTGAGTGGAGCTCCCTGTAAAATCTCAGTCTCTAAATCCGAAAGGCTTGGATGTAGAAATCACTGTGTCCTCTCACTGTTCCCCTAGGGGTGGGGAGTGAAGGTTGATGTCTCATTGAAGAAAACACCGTCCTTCTTTTTTCTCTAGCTCAGCTTCCTCGGTTTGGACCTGGAGCTTAGTTTAGGAGCGAGCTATCCTCTGCCTCCTAACTGTCGGTGGGACTTCAAGAGGTACTTCCTAGTCCTTGAGACGGCTAGATTCTTTTTCAACTAAATCTGGGATGGAAGGGAAAGCGGAAGCCCGAGGTAAAGTGGCGAAGTTGGGGAGTGGTCCCTCGGGAAGTTGTTGAAAGCCCGAGAAGCGGTGTAGGTAACGATGTGAGCAGCGCTGGGAAGAAGCAGTTCTGTGCGCTTGACCAGTGGGAGACAGTCGGGAGGGCGGTGCTGAGCTGGGCTGATCGTTGGCCTCTCCACTAGAAAGTGTTCCTACTTTCCCTCCTTCACACCCTGGCTCTCCTCCCCTTTCTTCCCTCCTTTCTCCCTCCTCCCCTTTCCTACCTGTGTGGGTGGCTACTGGTGCCTCTTAGCTCCGACTCGGGCCCCTGGGTATGCCGCGGGAGGCGCTTCTCTTGGAGTTGTTCGGTGTGGTGGGTTTGCAGCCCCCCGGGCAGGTTTTTATATAGCCCGCGGACTCTCCGCTCCCCGCCCCCGGACCAGACCCGCAGGAATGTCTCTACCCTTCTGTAGCCATATTTGGGTGTTGGGCACTAAGAGCCCCCTCCCCTTCTGTCCCTCGGCCTCGGCCCCCAACCCCCGAGCTCTGCCCAAAGAAGGAGAACCCTGGCCCTGGCCCAGGTAACACGGGCCAGGCCGTATAAGGAGTGTCTCCCCGGGCTTGCAACTCCTCCCCAATACGCCCCTCCAGCTGGTCAGGGGAGTTGGGGGCAGGAAAGAGGGTCAATTAGGAGGGAGGGGAAACAAGAGGGGTGCGCACGTGAGTACAGGAGTGTGCACGTATGTGCGCACTCGCGTGTATGTACTGGGGTGCTTCCCATCCCTGATCCCTAAATGTCTATGAACATAAAGCAGAAATTGAGAGGATGGGTTTGGTCGGGTTTAGGGATATCAGAGGAAATGTGAAGGGTGGGCCCCCGCCTTCGAGGTGCAACCCCTACTTTTGTTTCTTTTCACACCCCACCAAGCCTTACTGACTGACATCTCTTGGGAGCAGTGAGGAGGCGGTGTGTAAGTGTTGGGGCTATGAGGAGGGGAGGAACAACAGCTGCTGTCCCGGGATGCCTCCTGCGAGTTCACCCGCCTGAGAGCAACGGAACAAGGCCACTCCATTGGTTTTCCATCACCCCACCCCAAGGGGAGAAACAGGCAGTAACGTGCAGCTGTCCCGGAGAGAACAATTGACCAGAAGATCTGAGGAGACTCGGAGAGAAAACAAGGGGGCTCCCAGGGCCAGGGGCCAGGCAAAGCTCATACACTCCCAGAGCAGGGACCTAGTCCAGCAAGGAGCTGTCCTCCTCCCTCTGGCTACCAGAGTGGGGAAATTCCCTTCACTTCTAGTTTTCCCGTAGAGTTTAATGGTTATAACCCAAAGTCCTGGCACTGCCCCGACCCTAGGGACTCTACGGTGGGCAGCTGAGAGTTTATTCGGAGATGGCCTTGGGCTATTAAGTTAGTCTCACTACTCCGGGACAGGTGGGCTGGAAGTGTGAAGCAGGGAGTTTACTGGAGGGAAGAGGAAGGCAAGGATAAATGGTTAGGGAAACGCTACTAAGCAGAATCTCTGTTCCTCTGGCTCCCCTAATTAAAAGGGCGTACAGTTTCGTTCCAGCAGTTTGGTTTTTTGTTGTTGTTCGGGTTTTTTTTTTCCCCGCCACCCCAAAAGGCCATATAACATCAGCTTTATATATAGAGGATGATTCCCATCCCTGCGCAGCCAGGTCACTTGCCAGGATGCATTGGAGAGTTACCATAAACCTAGAGCCTGGAGCAATAGATTCTATTTATATCTCTGATACGTTAGAATCTATTTTTTTTTTAATTTTCTAAATGGATTTGAATTTACCTATGTCAAAGCAGAGGTCCAGTTTGAGGTCAGTCCAGTTTACAGGCACAGTTGGTGGTGACCGCCTCACTTTTCTTTTGATAATTAGAGCAACAGTAGTAGCCTGATTGAAGGAAGCAGATTTGAGTGTTTTATTTATTCTCAAGTTTCAGGGGCGATTGTCAGTGGTTTTTTGGGCAGTGGACAACCATTCTGGAATTATGTATTTTTCCAACAATAGTTAAGTTTCTGGTTCATTACTGAAATAGCAGCATTTCACATTTGTTGGAGATCAGCTACTAGAACAGGTGTGGCTTTTCTTAGGGATAGAAAAGCAAATGCTACACACACTCTTCTATTCAACAGCATCTATTCCTCTACATGGTCAAGGGCAAAAGAAATCAGCTTAAAATAGAGATGGGGAGCCCAAAGGAATAGTATTCTGAAGTTTCTGTGGTTTCATAGAATCTGCTATTTCTTCCACTTTTTCAAGGAGCTTTTCTCTTTCTTAAGCTTCCCAATTATTTAGTAGCGGCTAAATGGGTCAAGAGAATGAAGAAAGCTGCATTTCATTCTTAACTCTTTCCTATTCGATTCTATGGAAGGGAGATGGAAACATTCAGAAAAAGTAACCTGCCAGAAAAGTGGAATACACCTTTTTAAGGGAACGACTAATTTGGGTCCTTGGGGGACAGTAAGCAGTCTGCTTCCAAACAACAGCTAACTTCTTTTTTGTTTAAATTTCAGTGGGGAAGGGAAGACAAAAGGAGTTTTAAAAAGTCCAACTTAGAATAACACAACTTTAGCTATGTAGAAAGGTCTTCCTAACTGACAAAGCCCATTTACAGTCAGTTTCAAAAGTACATTAAGGTTGCTTATGAATAAAACATGCAAAAGTTAATGTAAACCAGCTACTAGAGACATAAGACATGCCAGGGATACTGAGAGGGAGAGAACATGCTATTCAGGGATTTTTTTCTGCCTTACAGGATTGAAGCTGGTTTAATTGGCTTTTAATTGAGCCTAGTAGGGGCTACACATAGTTCCATTACAGACCCACTAGATTCCCAGTAGTTTAAAGGGCAGGCTTGATGGGTATTTTGGGGTGTTGCTCATCCACAAATGTACAATTTTGTACATTTGTACAGTAGACTGGCACAGTAGACTGTCCCTTGGTGAGCTGGTACTCCCTGGATAACATTTGAGAACCCTCCATCAATAAAGGCCAACCATGTAGGGTATGCTTGACAGATTCTGTTTGGCAACCCCATGTCTTGGTGCTCCCCAACAGAGGCCCTTCTACTCCAACCTAGAAGCTCCTTACCCAACCCTCCCATCCCATCCTACTTTCCAGTCTTCTTCCCTCATACCCCCGTACCCCAGCCTGAATGTCTTTCTCTTTTCCTCCTTTTGTTTATCTATATACTTTTTTTAAGTTTGCTTTTTTATATATCTGTTATTTTCCAGAGACTCTCCTGTCCTTTCCACTCTCCCTAAATATAACTTTAAGACCCAGTTCATATTTTTCATATTTCCTTTACTAACTTTATTCTTTTTGTTCAATAACCAACTAAACATATTTGTGGAAACCCTGGACATTGTGCTGGGGCTAGAGGGAGGGGAGAGAGAAGAGATACTCCAAAATGACAGCTCACTCACTCTGTACTCTCATAGCAGTTCCATTTTGTAATAGAATATTTTTTAATGGCTCAGCTCAACAAATATGACACATTTGCATTGCATGAATACTTGCTGACAGTCTCCAGTTGTTTCATGTATGTTGAGTAATCCAAGGAGCTTATAAACTTAAGAACAGAGGCAAATAGTGCTATGCATACAGTACATCCTCAATAATTGTTGAAGAATAACAAGTTAGACTGGAGTTGAGTTATAGTTTTACCAGTGTTACCATGCCTGACAAGAAGAGTGAGAATTGGTAAAAACTAAGTCAGGATCTTTTTCTTACGTTTCATACAAACCAGATTAGTTTAGGTGTATGACAGCCAAGTGACTTGGGTTTTCCCTTTTCCTGTCTGGGAGCTCTCTTCACTCAGGCTGGCCCATCTGATCCCGTACAAGTCTTAAAATTTGATCAAATAGAACAGTATGATTTTCCTCTCCCTCTCTTTTCCATTGTGTTTTATTTCTGATTATCTTCCTTACAAAGACAAACAAAAAATTAAAAAGATTAATGCCTTTTAAAATTACTAGGATGGCTTTATAAAAAATAAAGCATCAGCGGTATAAAATCAGAATTATCTAATGGTTTGGGATGATGGAATCTGCATATGGCACCTGAAAATTAGAGGGATTTTTTAATACCCTTTTCAAAAGTGTATGTCAAGCACTTCAATTAAGACAATTAGTGTTTAACTGGAAGACTTTTTAAGTGACATATAGGAAAAGCTCTTTTTTCTTTACGTATCCTCAGGGATTAAAATGTCTAGGAATAGGCAGGTGGGGCTAAACCAATATTTTCACAGTGCTCAGTCATAACATAGACAAGGGTGTCAGATTTCAATAGGGTAGTGTTTGATCTCCATGGTAGGGTGGATTTTATCTTTGCTCAAATTATTGGAGAAACTGGAGGCATGTAAAGCACTCTTTCACTAATTTCAAGATGCAAACTAGCTGTGCTAGCTTAGTTCTAAAAAATAGCCCGATATTCATGGTAGACATGAATTCTTTAAGTACTGTATACTATGTTACAGATCCCAGGAGGGGAAAACATATCCAAATTTTAAACAAAAACTAGTTCAGCATGACCAAACTGTATGACAGTAAAAATCAAACATTTTCTATTGAGGAAATGAGTTTCACAGAAGTTTTTACCTTACTTCTAAAACCCTGCCCTAATCTTTAATACACCAATTGCTCAATCCAAGATCTCCATGACCTCTTAACCACCACTCTTCCGAGTCTTCATCCTTGTTCTTTGTGCTGAATTTACATTACTGCCCTACCATATTTTCCCTACTTATTGCCAGAGAAAGAAGTCTTGGACTGTGAGAGTATTAAAGAGCTCTCAAAGGCACAGAGTCCCAAAATGACCACCTTTGAAGTTAGCAAAGCATACTTTTTTATAGAAATATCTATCTGTAACTGGGCATTTACTAAACAGGATCACACTAAATGTTTATCATGATTTCTAAAAGTTATTCATACACCTGAGATTATTCCTATATGGGTATTCCTTTCCTACCCCCCACCAAGGCAATAGGGGTTAAGTGACTTGCCCAGGGTCACATAGCTAGTGAGCATCCTGTGTCCGAGGCCAGATTTGAACTCAGATCCTCCTGATTCCAAGGCTGGAGCTCTTTCCACTGTGCCATCCAGCTGCCCCTGAGTATTCCTTTTTAGCAGAAAGATATTCTATGGTGTTATTTTACAGAAAGCCATTATGTAAGAATGGGTACTCAATGTTTTATAACTGAATTTAAATATTTTACCAGCAATGTTTAACTTGGGTTAAGATATAATCAATCAACAAGCACTTATTAAATACTTACCATGTGCCAACATTGTGCTAAATGTTGGAGATAAGAAAAAAAAACTAAAGAAGATAGAAATGAAAGATAAATTTCTG